TACTTCATACCAGTGTAACAAGTTATTGATGGATAAGGATTGTGGCCTCGTCTCTTCGCAACCAACATCGTTCCAGCGCCCTCTCTTCCTCGGGACAGAGAGAAGACTCTGAGAACGAGGCTGTTTTACAGTCATTTGTGTTACGACCCAAAACACGGTTGAAAAAGAGAACAGTTCATATAAACACATCGTTCTAAATCGTTCAGTTATACGTAAAAAGCTATGTCTGCACCCTATGTTCTCAGCGCTTTACACGAACTCCATGTCGTAAAATGCAAAAAGCGCCAAAGTAGAGGAAGCTACAACTAAAATTTCTACCTAAACTCCAAGGCGTGTCGAGTTCTAAACAGCGTTATTTTCTTGACAAAACAGAACGAGTTAGAATTGTTACGAAGTTTGAGTAAGCCGTTGGTTTGCAAAATTGTTCCCTTAAAAGTCACAAGCCTAATCATGTTTGAGTGACGCTGTCTAATGCTAAGCAACGTTGGAAACTGTTTTTCATTACCGACGTTTACTGACCTGAGAGCTCCTCTAAGAAATCACAAGCGACAACTTACTTCTACGTGTGATACATCTGATTAGTTGGTGTAATCCGAGGAAATGAATCTAATTAGTCACTGAGTGGATCTCATTTTAAAAGTCCATAACAGAAACGACCAAAGACCAGCTTATAAACAACACCAGGCACAGCCCGGTGTTTTCAACTTCTCCAGGCATTTTATAATGGGATCGACACTATCTATATATGAAATGCAATCAACAGCAAAAGTACAAAACTCAAGATGTGTTATACTCAGGCCCCGTCACCACTGCACCGCAGGAATTTGAAAACCGAGCTTTCACTCTGAAAACACATCATGTTTTCCGTCCACGCGGGAGGAGTTTAAAAAACGCAACAATCACCGGTCATTTTGTAACTGTGCTTGAGGAAAACTCGTTCAGGGAAATCACATGACCATCGTGACGCCTTCGTTTTCGTAAAAATGGCTTCTGTCCACACGAAAACGAAAAGTCGGGTTTTCAAATTCCTCCGGTTTGAAGAGCGTTTTCGTAAAGCTTCGTTTTCGTGACGGATTATTGTGGACGGTAGGCCTGACCGAAGAAATAAAGCTGCGTTTTCACATTTCTCCGGCTAGTGTGGATGGGACCTTATTTAGACGTAATAAGGGAACAAAATTTCTGTTACTCAGTGATGGGTCGGGCTACGTGCAGGTACGAATCGTCTGCACGAAGGATAATTTCGGGTTGGTTACAAAAGATGAAGGCAAAACCTGAAGTATCATCAGAAGCAGAATTAAGAAAAAATAATAATAACATCACAACTTTGATTACTGAATCAAAGCAAATTCATTTGCGGACAATAAAAAAAGGCTAAATTAAAAGGACACTCCTTTGCTCGAATATTTGTTCGAATTAGTGCTATTACTTAGTCCTTGATTAAGACCTGTGATTTAGGGTCAAATAATATAAGAAACCTAAGTACTAATTGTCCCTAGTCAACCAAAAGAATCAAGAAACTAATTATAAGTCAAAGCTTTACCATGACACATCCTTGAACTCCACTGTACACTAGCCTGTATAGCTGGTGGGATTTCCTGCGGGATTTCCTGCGAGGAGTTGCTTTCGGAATCGCAAGAGAAAATTGACTATTCCAATTTTCCCTTGCAACTTCATTGTTCTTGTTAGAGGTTCTACTGTCAAGACAATGCACTCACGCGAAAATTCCGCCGGCTATGCAGGTTAATAGGGTATACCCAGGGAAAACTCTGTTGGTTTCTTTTTCATTCACTGGCCTGTGTATACGAACATCTGCTTCTCAGTGCCTTTGAAAGCAGTTATTTGAGCGATCATGTCCCGCTTCTACTGAAGCATAACACGACGATCCAGTAGCCTTTTTCACGTTTAGATTTTCTCATTTGCATTAGAATGTATCCAACTTGGATGCGAGGCAATTTCGGGCTGAAAATACAAAATAGCACGAAATTGCCTCATATACATGCTAGATTATATTGTAATGCAAATGAGAAAATTTAACCGTGAAAAGAGCTACTAGAAACTACCTGGGAGTGAAGACGGAATGCCAGGTAACTTGTCAACCTAGTTTCCAGGGTCTTTTCTTTCACCCTGTGCCATCACGAAGGCTGACTCTGGGAACAAGGTTGAGTGCATGAATACGAAAGTCCAAACTTCAGTTACAAAACTTTTTTTTCTTAGAAAATAGCTCAGCTACTGGGAATCTCACAAATTTAGATACAAGATTTGTTACAGACCAGCCTACACTTTCACCATCATGCAAGGCTTTAGGTTTAGAATCTAACCTGAAAAATAACAAATTTGACAACATTGTTAGAACACGTTATTGCCAGAAAATGATCGTTGGCCAGGTCTTTAGGTAGACTGCGTACATGGTAAGCAATGGGCCCAATAACATCATGTATATAAATTCAACTCCTGGTGATTGCACATAACTAGGTTTACCTGACTGCCAGGAATGGGTCCAAATGGGTCTGGTGGGTGTGCAGGTCTCTGCGGTTGAAACGGCTGAGAAGGAAATGCAGAAGCCTGTTGTGGGAACATTCCTTGTTGGCCAGGCTGAAAAACATGATTGTGCTTTGTCAAAAGCATAGGCAAGGTTCTATTTGGCCTAGAGAGTGAGTCTCCTTAAGGACCCAATATGAGAAGTCAAGAACAAGACATGAGGCACGCACATGTATACATGTAGATCAACACTGGAACACCCAACCCTACAGTAGGTTGGAAAGGTAACAATAATATATCACATGTACATTAATGAAGTGTGACTCTTTTTTGTGATGTACAATTAATTGTCTTCAAATCAGAAATACTTCCAGGGGTAGAGTAAACACCAGAGGTTATAATAAAACAGCCCAAAACAGGCTTATTGACCTTGCTTGGCTACATACCATGAAAGGCTGTCCCACTGGAGTTGGTTGTGCAAAGGGCGGTCTGAACCCTGTTGACTGCTGCATGGGAGGCTGACTTGTCGCACTCCAACCCGTTTGAGGTAACGACGTTCTTGACGTGGGTGGTGCCTGCCAGTTTGGTCCCCCTGTCTTGCTCTGTGGTACTGGTGCAGTCCACTGGTGTTGTGATTTGCCAGATGGACCCATGATGTTTCCATTAAAAGATAATGAGTCTACAAATCAGGACGAAAATGTAAAATTAATACAACATGCATGGAAATGTCCTTATCATTCATTTCCTAACATAGCAGTGCCAGCTTGGAAGGGCATACAGATACCTATCTGATGACAACAAAATTGGTGACTACATGGATCAGTGATATTATACAATTTACATAAAAAACCTCCATATTACTTTGAGAGAATCAGATGCAAATGAAAGCCATTTGATTTTAAAACCTTATGTGACACCTTTACATTTGTGAAACAATGGAGAACTATCGGATTCATTAAAATCTGTTTGAAACAGTGCAAAAGTGAAGCCTCCTACAATACACATGAAGCCTGCTCACCTAAAGATTTTGCAACTCTCTCTAGGCTTGCATGCAAACCTCCTGGTTGATCTCCACTGATGCTGCTGTCAGATGGTGCTTTCGAAGCCCCTGTGCTGGACACAGTCGGAACCAACATGTCTCCCATGGCTGGAGTATTGTCAACAGTAGTCTGCTGACTGCCAAACACAGCAGCAAAATCATCATGTACTTGGCTGTCAAATGGGTTTGTAGAGCTGCTGCTGGTGCTAAAACCTGTAGAAACTGACAAAGAATTAATGGTTCGTTCTTGAGCATTCTTCTAACAAAAGTACAGTCAAATCTGCTTGCTTCAAGATACAAAGTCCCCCCTGATGAGCATAGTGACCTATAAGCATCCACCCAGCCACACACATATCTATGATTTTATAAAATTCAAAGGATGCAGATGCAGATGCAGATGCGAATTGTAGGACAGGGCCATCATGAAGTTTTGAGTCACCTGTTGCCTGTCAACTGTAATTGGTGAATTGCATCAACAACAGGCAAGTTCACCTAAAACATCAAGGCCCCATCAAGAACACTCAGCAATAACAGGTGTAACAGATACATGTAACAACCATATGCCTAGCAAATACTATGTCTACACATATTCATAAAAAAGAAAAAGAAAAGAAAAAAGTGTATTCCACAAACATGGCTAACCTGTAGTAGCAGAGCCATCCCAGGGACCAGCCTGGGGAGGGGCCTGTCCAAAACCCTGTGCAGCTGGGAATGCCTGACTTGGAGGGAAGGAAGGGCTTTGTGAGAAAGCTGCAGAACTTGACTGTTGGACTGGAACAGAAAACGCTGCATGGAGTTGCAAAAGATCATCACTGGGGGCTCCCTGAGGAGCTGGTGTCGGCTCAGCAGGTTCACCTAATGGCTCCCATTTCTGGGACTGGGTGGGTTGGGGAGGCTTATCTTGTGGCTGGGCCAGAGGCAATTGCACTGATGTTCCAGATTCTTTGGCTTTCTGTAACAAAGAGAAAACTCCATTTGACATAGATCTGTACAACTGATTTACTTGTATGGTTTACAGTCAACTCCTGATATAGTGGACACCTCGGGACTGTCATTTAGTGTCTGTAATGGTGAGAGTCTGCAATAGCGGGATGTAATGAAGATCACCCAATTTTTGGTTGCCAAGTGTCACATAAATGTACAATGTTTACTACATGTAGCTGCTATTCTTTTTTCAGATTTTCAGTTTCTTATTATTTGCAGTACACATTTACTGTGATGCATACCTGTACTCATATTAAGTCAAAAAAAGTGTACAAACTAGTGAACATTCCAAGACATGTCCAAGTTGATAGTAGAAAAATAAAAATATTAGTTTGAGACCACAAGAGGTGAGCACAATAATTCCCTTGGGGGGGGGGGGGGGG